ACAAATATGTCCTAGTATATAGGCAAGTATGACCCTGTATATATGACAAATATGTCCTTGTATATAGGCAAGTATGACCCTGTATATATGACAAATATGTCCTAGTATATAGGCAAGTATGACCCTGTATATATGACAAATATGTCCTTGTATATAGGCAAGTATGACCCTGTATATATGACAAATATGTCCTTGTATATAGGCAAGTATGACCCTGTGTATATGACAAATATGTCCTTGTATATAGGCAAGTATGACCCTGTATATATGACAAATATGTCCTAGCATATAGGCAAGTATGTCACAGTACATATCACAAATATGTCCTAGTATATAAGGCAAGTATGTCACAGTACATATCACAAATATGTCCTAGCATATAGGCAAGTATGTCACAGTACATATCACAAATGTGTCCTAGCATATAGGCAAGTATGTCACAGTACATATCACAAATATGTCCTAGTATATAAGGAAAGTATGTCACAGTAAATATGACAAATATGTCCTAGTATATAGGCAAGTATGTCACAGTAAATATGACAAATATGTCCTAGTAAAAAAGGCAAATATGTCACAGTATATAGGACAAATATGTTCTTGTATATAGGCAAGTATGTGCCCTGTATATATGACAAATATGTCCTTGTATATAGGCAAGTATGACCCTGTATATATGACAAATATGTCCTTGTATATAGGCAAGTATGACCGTGTATATATGACAAATATGTCCTTGTATATAGGCAAGTATTACCTGTATATATGACAAATATGTCCTTGTATATAAGGCAAGTATGACCGTGTATATATGACAAATATGTCCTAGTATATAGGCAAGTATGTCACAGTACATATCACAAATATGTCCTAGCATATAGGCAAGTATGTCACAGTACATATCACAAATATGTCCTAGTATATAAGGAAAGTATGTCACAGTAAATATGACAAATATGTCCTAGTATATAGGCAAGTATGTCACAGTAAATATGACAAATATGTCCTTGTAAAAAAGGCAAATATGTCACAGTATATAGGACAAATATGTTCTTGTATATAGGCAAGTATGTCCCTGTATATATGACAAATATGTCCTTGTATATAGGCAAGTATGACCCTGTATATATGACAAATATGTCCTTGTATATAGGCAAGTATGACCGTGTATATATGACAAATATGTCCTAGTATATAGGTAAGTATGACCCTGTATATATGACAAATATGACCTTGTATATAGGCAAGTATGACCCTGTATATATGACAAATATGTCCTAGTATATAGGCAAGTATGACCCTGTATATATGACAAATATGTCCTTGTATATAGGCAAGTATGACCCTGTATATATGACAAATATGTCCTTGTATATAGGCAAGTATGACCCCGTATATATGACAAATATGTCCTTGTATATAGGCAAGTATGACCCTGTATATATGACAAATATGTCCTTGTATATAAGGCAAGTATGACCCTGTGTATATGACAAATATGTCCTTGTATATAGGCAAGTATGTCCTGTATATATCACAACTATGTCCTAGCATATAGGCAAGTATGTCACAGTACATATCACAAATATGTCCTAGTATATAAGGCAAGTATGTCACAGTACATATCACAAATATGTCCTAGCATATAGGCAAGTATGTCACAGTACATATCACAAATATGTCCTAGCATATAGGCAAGTATGTCACAGTACATATCACAAATATGTCCTAGTATATAAGGAAAGTATGTCACAGTAAATATGACAAATATGTCCTAGTATATAGGCAAGTATGTCACAGTAAATATGACAAATATGTCCTAGTAAAAAAGGCAAATATGTCACAGTATATAGGGCAAATATGTTCTTGTATATAGGCAAGTATGTCCCTGTATATATGACAAATATGTCCTAGTATATTGGCAAGTATGTCACAGTAAATATGACAACTATTTGCCTATATGCTTAGTATATAAGGCACGTACGTCACAGTATATATGGCAAATATGTCCTTGTATATAGGCAAGTATGTCCCCGTATATTTGACAAATATGTCCTAGTATATAGGCAAGTATGTCACAGTAAATATGTCAACTATGTCCTTGTGTGTAAGGCACGTATATCACAGTATATGGGACATCTATGTCCTTGTATATAAGGCACGTAAGTCCCAGTATATAGGACATCTATGTCCATGTATATAAGACACGTATGTCACAGTATATAGGACAACTATGTCCTTGTATATAAGGCACGTATGTCACAGTATCGAGGACAACAGTGTCCTAGTTTGTACTGTACGTGGTGGTGGTAGGCACGTATGTCACAGTATATAGGACAACTGTGTCCTTGTATATAAGGCACGTATGTCACAGTATATAGGACAACTATGTCCTTGTATATAAGGCACGTATGTCACAGTATCGAGGACAACAGTGTCCTAGTTTGTACTGTACGTGGTGGTGGTAGGCACGTATGTCACAGTATATAGGACAACTGTGTCCTTGTATATAAGGCACGTATGTCACAGTATATAGGACAACTATGTCCTTGTATATAAGGCACGTATGTCACAGTATCGAGGACAACAGTGTCCTAGTTTGTACTGTACGTGGTGGTTCTAGGCACGTATGTCACAGTATATAGGACAACTGTGTCCTTGTATATAAGGCACGTATGTCACAGTATCTAGGACAACTATGTCCTTGTATATAAGGCACATATGTCACAGTATAAAGGACAGGTATGCCCTTGTATATAAACACGTATGTCACAGTATATAGGACAGGTATGCCCTTGTATATAAGGCACGTATGTCACAGTATCTAGGACAACTGTGTCCTTGTATATAAGGCACGTATGTCACAGTATATAGGACAACTATGCCTTTGTATATAAGGCACGTATGTCACAGTATATAGGACAACTATGTCCTTGTATATAAGGCACGTATGTCACAGTATCTAGGACAACTGTGTCCTTGTATATAAGGCACGTATGTCACAGTATATAGGACAACTATGCCCTTGTATATAAGGCACTTATGTCACAGTATATAGGACAACTGTGTCCCAGTTTGTACTGTACGTGGTGGTGATAGGCACGTATGTCACAGTATCTAGGACAACTATTTCCTTGTATATAAGGCACGTATGTCACAGTATATAGGACAACTATGCCCTTGTATATAAGGCACGTATGTCACAGTATATAGGACAACTGTGTCCCAGTTTGTACTGTACGTGGTGGTGATAGGCACGTATGTCACAGTATCTAGGACAACTATGTCCTTGTATTTAAGGCACGTATGTCACAGTATATAGGACAACTGTGTCCTTGTATATAAGGGACGTATGTCACAGTATATAGGACAACTGTGTCCTTGTATATAAGGGACGTAAGTCACAGTATCTAGGACAACTATGTCCTTGTATATAAGGGACGTAAGTCACAGTATCTAGGACAACTATGTCCTTGTATTTAAGGCACGTATGTCACAGTATATAGGACAACTATGTCCTTGTATATAAGACACGTATGTCACAGTATATAGGACAACTATGTCCTTGTATATAAGGCACGTATGTCACAGTATCTAGGACAACTGTGTCCTTGTTTATAAGGGACGTAAGTCACAGTATATAGGACAACTATGTCCTTGTATATAAGGCACGTACAGTTTGTACTGTACGTGTGTTTGGGTCATCCCGACACTAGGAATCAATGTCTTCAGCAGCACCTTCCACGGAGATCCAGCTGGTGCATCTAGCGCTGTAACACATGGCCACTTCTCTATTGTAGTGGGTTTCATCTTTGATAGTTGAGGGAACAAAGGAAACAATCTCCCGGTTACAGAATTTTAGCGTGATAAATGGGTAGGCATTACCAGAGAAGTAGCGTGTTCTTTAATTGTTGATTTCAAACCCAATATCACCACAATGAAATACATGTATTTACATCGGCCGCTGCATAGTGCTGTTTTATTCTGTCTGTTTCTCTCTCCAATCTATAAGGCAGATGTTTACCAGTATATAGGAGAGACAATTCTCGGTATATGGGGCAGATATGTCTTGGACAATAGGGCAAATATGTTCCATGGTTTAGGGAAATTATTTTCCTTCATATTTCCTTCACGAGGTGTATTTTCCATATAGTACAAATATGTCCTAGTATAGAGGCACGTATGTCCCTGTATATATGACAAATGTGTGTGTGCGTGCGTGCGTGCGTGTGTGCGTGCGTGCGCGCGCATCCCCTCTCTCTAACGAGCTGCCACACCTGCTTCATATACGCGCCACGCCCACGTCACCCCCACGCATCTGACTACCAGCATCTTACCCAGCCCGTATCTCCCCCTTCGCGACTTCCACTAACAGCCAATTACAACCACCAGATCCTACTCACAGTTAAATAGGCCAGAGTTCTCTTCTCGGAGTACCTACGCTCTAAACTGTTTACACTTTCCCATCTATTGATCCAGCATTGTCCTTTGAAGCAGTGGGTGAAAGCTCATCACAACGCCGTTCCTAATGATCTTCAACTAAACACGGGCTTATTGACAACAGGTACAAGGAATTGAGTTCTCATTTGAACCCATCACAACCACAGTGCCAGAGGCAATAAACCATTCCATCCACAGGGACAAGCAACACTATCTGTAACAACTGAATTGCTTTTGTGAGATCAGCATCGATGAACAACGCATCCCGGCTGTGCGTAGCTGCTGCCGTTCGCTGTTGACTGGTCGGAGAGCGACATTCGCCACTCTCGACACGTTGTTAAGCTGCGGGCGACACAGGCAGCCTACAGCATCCTGGCCTCTGACCCCAGCCTCCTCACCTGGCGGACGCCGGTCGGAAAACATCTCGTCTAACCAGGTAAAATTCATTAATACCACTTTAATTTTCTGCGCGTATGCGTAGTATTGATTGAATCTAGACATGGAAGCATGTGTGTCCAATGACTACAGGCTATAGTTAAATAGCTTGTGAAACTGTATGGTATTTCTGTCACGTTCGTTATGCATTTGGAATAGAAAGCGTCTGTGTCAGTACAGTCGGGAGTGGGATAGCAGGTAGGTGAGCGAGTCTGCTGGATACATTATACATACACGGATGATGCAGCCATGTAATATAATACACGGCCATGTAAAATGTTCATCATCGTCGTTTTACCAGATATGTGTATATATTACGTGGTATACAATGTAACAAACTGAAAATAATTGTTCACCAAGGGTGATACTATCCAATGTATGTTTAACTCCCAACGTACTCGGTTTAAGTGTTTGGGGTTAGTAACGGTAGTGTAATCATTGTGAACCTCAGCGACCATCATCATCATCAATACAGCATCATCATCGTCATCATCATCAACATCATCGTGGGTTTAAATGTTTGAGGTTAGTAACGGTAGTCTAATCATTGTAAACCTCAGCGGCCATCATCGTCATTAATACATCATTATCATCATCATCATCATCATCGTGGGTTTAAATGTTTGAGGTTAGTAACGGTAGTCTAATCATTGTAAACCTCAGCGGCCATCATCGTCATTAATACATCATCATCATTATCATCATCATCATCATCATTATTACTACCACCATCTTCATCAACACGTTTATTTCCACAGTAGGTGGGCTGTACATTGTAGAACAATGTGCACAGTGCAGTACAAATGTTGAAATGTACTGTTGACATCACATATTAACCCAGGTGTGAGTCAGTGTGCATCACCAGTTCGTAGTCGTACATCAGCACAGATGTCGAGTGTCGTGCACAACGCTGCATTATGGGGATTATCAACATATATATATAGCCCGCGTCTGCCATATTTGTCGGAGGAACTATAAATACCCCCGGGCGACCTCCAGTCCGCTAATTGGCCGAGTAATTATCCCCCTTGCTATGTGTTTGTACACTGTGTTGACCAAGCCGAACAACACACCTTGGCGTACCTATGTCAAGAATGTGGACACGCCCCCAGTTGTGCATTCAACAGGCAATATCATGCCGAATTAGTCTTTTTCGAAGTTCCCTTGTTCTACACGTCAATGGCGACGCACGTGTCCGGGGCAATGGTAGACACAGAAAAGCTGACGACACAGCCGTCATAGAAATGTCGATACTAGTATTGATGTTCTGTTCGCCATCTCTACCGTGTCGAAAAACAACGTGTTGCAAATGTATAGCGATTTGTTTCCAGGCAAGGGTTGTTGACATGTTTCCATCAGTGAGTGATAGGCTTAGGTTTTCGACATAATATTTAAAACACGTGCAGCTGGTAGATTTTCTGATTACAGTTTTCTATTTCTGAGTGGAGTACTGTAGTGACCCGGTCCTTTAAAGACGCCGCGATTCGTTGTGCAGATCTGCCCAAAATAATATTCATGGGTTCGAATCCCAGATTTGACTTGAATGGGTCTAAAGCCTTGCTTATAGGTCTAAAAAAGTGGCCAACGATTAACACGACTATCACTTTGGGCGTTCATCCCACTGCAATTACTACAATGTATGCCGTAAAACCATATGCACTCACGCGAATTCTAATTTGTCTTCAGGGGGCGGTGGGGTAGTCTAGTGGTTAAAGCGTCTGCTCCTCACATGGAAGACCCTGGTTCGATTCCCCATATGGATACAATATGGTGTCCCCCGCCGTGATTGCAGGAATATTGCTAAAAGTGGCGTAAAACCATACTCACTCACTATGTTTCTCTCACTTATAATTATTTGCACTGGTGAAATAAAACGAAAAAGTTTTTTATCGTGTTCTGCAGTAAAATTGCGAATAATCCGCGGATAAGTTGAAGATAATTCGCAAAAATAATTGGTGAAATATTTGCAAATTATTCGCAACTAATCCGCGCATATCCGCGGATTTCTGCGAAAACCATTTTATTGCTTAATGGCACTAATTAGGACTTTTATGGGACTATCACGACTATCAGTTCCGGGACATGTCAGTAGTCTCCATACATGTAATATATTCCTGCTATAGCTATGATACTGCTGTCATTAAATATTCTTATTGACATGCATGAATGTTTGATATTTATTATCAACTTGCATCGTGTCACGTGTCTTGTACACATCTACGTGTATACATGTATGTACTCGCATATACTGATGTAGTGGTTTGTGTGAATACCACTTTGACACTGGTTATATCACAGTTGATGTATAAACATGAACTTGGGTAAAATACACAAACATTGTACATGTACGGAGGGACGTTGTGATTAGTGTGGCTACACAGTTAAAGTTGATTTAAGGATAGAGGTATGAATCGAAAAATCGATGTGTAAACGATATGAATCCGCGTAGGAATACTAACTGTGGCGTGACATGAATCAGGTGATCACAGTCAGTAGCCAATCAACGGAGAGTATGTTCAAAACAATGTTCATTGGACCTGTCAATTAAGGCAACAGGCGAAAAGAACCGGAACAGTCAGACTGTAACGAACCGGAAGAAATATGTCCGGGAGTATGCGGCTTTTGAAATAAAATGGTCAGTTACCGCCAGATTCAAACATTACTTCCCTGATTACGATAAAACACAGTTGGAAAATTGCTACTTTATATAATGTCTAATCCGTAAGTGAGATCTTTAAGAGTAGATAGTATATATACTTTTTTAATTGTTTAACGAGTTTTTAATTTGTTCACGAATACATGATTTAAGTAATCGCAATTCATTGTAACTGTCTCTCTGTATATGCGGATTAATTAATTCTTCTTATAATTAGGTCAGTTTACTCTTGAATACATAATGTCACTCGCCTAAGAGATCTATTTACAGAATCGGCCTTAATTACAGGTGAGTCTACAATGCAATACAGTAGTCTACAATTACAACCTGCCACACCACATGCAGGTATTGTGGGCAAATACCTAGCCTGTATATATATATTTTTGTAGATACATGTATTACATGCTTTCGTTAATTGTGGATATATTAGGCACAAAGACACAAAAGGTTTATGAAAGATGAATTGGTGCCTTGATATACAACTAAAATGAATCTTGTTTTTCCTCCGCGTTCCCGAAGTGATTCATCGTATAATGGTTCATTCTATTACGTGTATGTTTGGAGGCGATGTCAATAGCACAGTCCAGCGGACACAGACAGTGTTGTCCCTTTCACGTAAACTACCTCCCCATTTCCCCAACCTGTCAATAGAAGTTATGTAATCGGTACACAAATAACTTGTGGTGTCAGTGTGGAAAGAGTTTGAATTACGTCCGTCACTGGCTACAGAAATCCTTGAAATATAGTAACATTCTAGAAGGCCACTGCACAATAACCTAGTGATGCAAGCAACTCTCGTCGACAACGGCTGTCACCCTGTCTGCTTCAGCTACCATACAATCCTCCCTGTCACAACGGTCGTTTAACTGTCTTTTTCAAAATATTAATTAACAACTTGCCTGTGCACAGGCGATTCCCAAGGATAGGATATTGCACAGGCAATACAAACTTGTTTGACTTTTTTGAGTTGTAGACTGGCGACTTGCAAGTGTTTTTCATGCCATGCGTATACTTCCATATACACATTACAAATTCAGATATACCACCTGTGTGAAGCATTGTGAAGCTGAGAACAGATGCAAGGCCGCTGTTAACTTTTTTTGACAGGGGGGCAAATATTTGTACAAGTATCACTTGTCCACAACTTGTATTTTCATGATTCAAATAAAACTCTTTTCTATAAAAAAAAATCCAGGGGGGGAGGGGGGCAACTGCAGTTCTTTGTTTGGCGTGGTAGAGTAAGTTAATAACAACCAATTCCTTGTTTGGCTTGGTAGATATTGAGAAAGTTAATAACTTCCAATTCCTTGTATGGCGTGATAGATATTGAGTAAGTTAATAACAAGCATTTCCTTGTTTGGCGTGGTAGATATTGAGTAAGTTAATAACAAGCATTTCCTTGTTTGGCGTGGTAGATATTGAGTAAGTTAATAACAAGCATTTCCTTGTTTGGCGTGGTAGATATTGAGTAAGTTAATAACAAGCATTTCCTTGTTTGGCGTGGTAGATATTGAGTAAGTTAATAACAAGCATTTCCTTGTTTGGCGTGGTAGATATTGAGTAAGTTAATAACAACCAATTCCTTGTTTGGCTTGGTAGATATTGAGTAAGTTAATAACAACCAATTCCTTGTTTGGCTAGGTACATATTGAGTAAGTTACAAACAACCAATTGCTTGTTTGGCGTGCTAGATATTGAGTAAGTTAAAAACAACCAGGTCCTTGTTTGGCGTGGTAGATATTGAGTAAGTGAATAAGAAGCAATTGCTTGTTTGGTGTGGTAGATGAGTTAAGATTGGTTAGTCTAATGATAAAAAATCCCTTGTTGGGCAAGGTAGATATTAGGAAGGGTTTTAACAAGCAATTTCTTGCCATCTCAGTCATCTAAAATGACGGGTCACGGGGAGTCTCCTGCGTCCACGCCCTCAACAAGTGGCGACAATACAAACACACTGACCAGCACAAAGGCCATTAATGATTTAGTGACAAACATTGACCTTGAGAGAAGGTGAGAGGTCACCACGTGGTCCCAACCGCACGCCATGGCCGCTTCTGAGAAAGGGATTCATTCGACTGTGAAACAGTGCCCCTATTACACTTCGCGGAGACAAACTGTTAGTCGGCAACACATTGAGGTATATTAAGAGTGTCATGGCATATTTTTAATAAATAATTTAATTAGACTTTTCTGTGACAATTCACTGCGAATAAAAACAAATCGTGTCCTGTGAACCAGCTTGTTCTATCTCCACTTTTGGTAAAAATTGAGTTAAGGTTCTGGAATCACTCAGGGGACTTTGTTCTATGTCCTGATGAAGACTCAAGTCATTATTATGAAGAGAAATGAGATTTAACGTTCAACAGCATTGTGTTATCTCCAAATCTAAAACTAAATCTAAGTTCCAGACTGTTCCAAGTGCGTATCCAATGAAAATAATTCCTTTTATCACGTGATCTGGAGATAGAACATTGGGAAATTGAAAAGATGGATGATAAGTGATGCAAAATGTCAGTTAAATTTTGAAAGTTTGCAACACTATTAC